CAATACATATACACACACAAAATTTTAATTACATGTTGCTTTTTTTTTTACTAAAATAAAGTATATATAATTTTTTTTTTAACAAAATGTTTTTAGTCAAAAACTACTTTGGCGCTAACTTAGGAAATGTATACAAATTTTTTCAAAAAGTTTTCAAAAATTTAGCAGCTGTTTTTTTGACTACAAGATTCAATAAAAAAAAAAAACTTTAAAAGAAATAAAAGCATGTATCCCTAGTCTAAGCAATCGACCAAATTTACAGTTCACTAAATTTTTAAGATACCAAATAGAAATATTTCTAAAAAAAATTATCTTGTGTGCGTAAATGCCTACTTTTTAAGCGCTGGCGTAGTCCGATTTTTCGTGAAATCTATCAAAAAGCTATCACTGCATACGAATAGCTGCGAGCGTAGCTTTGGTTTTGAATTACAAGTTCGTAGCAATACGAATTCAGTGACTGCCTTTACGCAGATATCACAAAAAACTGACGTGGCTGTATTCAGCTGTAGACCCTGAGTTATTAAGCGCTAATGCATTGCTTGATCTTGATCAATTTCAGCGAAAATTAATTTTTTATGTGTTTTTTTTTGCTTTTTCTGTTCACACCGTTTGGCGCCAATTGCTTGCATTTTCTTGGTTTTTCTTGCCTTTTTCAGATGCCCGATTTGCTTGTACAACTTTTTTATGCAAATTTATGGAATTCGTAATTATTATTTTTAATAAATTTTTTTTCTGTCCCGTTTTTTTAAGAATTTTTTTTTCTGATTTAATTCTTTCTGTCCAGCTTTTCTATGCAAAAATATGGAATTTATAAATTTAATTTCTCATTACATTTTTTCTGGTCTTATTGCTGCTTTAAAAAGCAATTTTTTTTTACAATTTCATAGTTTTTCTGCACGCTATTGTTACTCGCTCGCTTGCAAGTATGTTTTCCGTACACACTTTTTTCTTTTTGCAAGATTTTATTTTGCAGTAAATTTTTTTTGCTGTGTAATTTCGTTCGCGCTCTGTTATATTTTTATATCTTTTTTGTTATTTTGCTGTTTTCCAAATCACTGTTACATACAGTTGCTATTGTTTGTTTATTTGCTTGTTACAGCTTCTCAATTACATACGTACATAGTATAGTACATGCAATAGCTTTGTTGTTGTGGTTAATGATACAATACAAATATGATGCTTTTTCGTGTTTATGATCATTAATTAACAAATTATAAAACTGAAAACTTAAAATTACACTCAAATTCAAAAAAAAAAAAAAATAATAATTATAATAAAAACATTTAATCAGTTCAATCCTTTAATCATTATTTTTCTAATAATTCTGCATTTAGCTTGTTACTGTCATTTTTTAAAAAATACCAACTTTTGCGCTTTTCTAGAGTTGGTGCAAAAATTAAAAGTTAATTTTACAAACACAAAAACAAAACTACAATATTTTACATAATGACAAAGCACTGAAAAATGTTGCAAATAATTTCATATTTTTGTTTCTTATTTGCAAACACAGCGACGAACGAGTAGACAACAATGTAGCGCAGCAGTTTAAGGTAAAAGTTTTCTAATTCCCTTAACTTGCTGTTAATATTTGACGCTACTTTTACCAATTTTCCTCTTGCGAGAGGCAAGTTAAAATTTTCTTTACCAACTGCTCTCATTTCTCCTTTCTCTTCCTCTTGTTGCCTCAATTTCTTTTAATACCATTTGTTGTGGTGTTTGAAATAATAAAAAATTGAGTTATATCACATTTTATATGATTTTATACATTAACTTTCGGCTTTGCAGTCTGTCTGCCTATGCAACAGATAAGTGTGGCGTCAACATGTTGCACAGCGTATGAGTCTGCAAATTGTTTCTCTTTTTTCAAACTGATTGCTAACATTTTGCCGCAACACTGCGATTGTTGCTCACAGTTTTCAAGTTTTTGAGTGTTTGACAGTGTGTGTGTGTGTGTGCGTGTGTGTGTGAATGCGCCCACAATGTATTGCGGCTTTGCAGCAAGAAAACACGCAGCCGCACGCGCTTCAAGCAGTTGCCTACGCCGCGTTTGATGTTGCGCTATAGAAATGCAGCATGTTGCCAGCAACATATGATGCGTTGAGCGCAATATGGCCAGAGATTTTTTTAAGGAAGCTGCTTAGCCAGCGGCGGTGTGTTCTTGCTTAATTTCTTTGGTTGTTGAATGTTTGTATGTGTGTTTGTGCGTGTGTGTTGGCCTTTAATTATGCTGTGATGTGTTGTTACATGTCGCCGCGTTTTCTTTTCCGCTTTTAACTTAACGTACAAACGTACTAGTACTTCTTTTGTTTACATTTTTAAAACAAAAATCGTTTGCTTTTTTGTATTGCTTTGCCATTTCTTGGCTACTAATGTTTGCTGTTTTGAGAAATTCTGCATTCCCTTAAAATCGAAAGCTGCTTGTAACTTGCATGTGTATGTAAAAAAATAAATATATGTATGTATGTATGTATTTAAAATATGTAGTACAACTTTAACAACTTTGTTATACATTTACTCCGTAGCAACGCTTAGCGCTATTTCTCAAAAACAGCAAACATTTTCCCAGCCAATACTTTTAACTTTTTGTTCTCTTACTACTTTGGTTGGCAATGAAAATCTTTTACTTAATTTTTTTTTTTTTAAATCAATTCTTAAGCCAGAGCAATACAAAACAATAAAAGATTCTCATTAAATTTTTTGTATACCCGCGCATACAGTTCTTCAGTCTATACGACACACACACACACAGACACAGCAACTATATATTTAGTTACACATTGTTATTACAAAAACATTCACCAACATTACACAATCCCACTTATGTAACGCCTCCAAATCTTCAAAAACTGTTGCTCTGAGAGTTTTCTGATTTAATTTTTTCTCGCTTCTTCTTCTTCTTCTTCTGTTTATTTTAACTCTACTCCTCGCTTCAACTAAGCTGATTCAACAAACGCTTCAACTTATGGCGCTTAGGAGGATGGCAATGGGCCATTTGTGGTGGCCGCTATATTTTCATCACCATTGCTGGCCGCTGCTGCTCCTGATGCTGCTGTGCCGGCTGTTGTTGTTGTCTCTGCCGCTGGACTGGCATCGTTGCTCTCGTTAGCCGCAGCAGCTGATGTTGGTGTGCCAGCTTGCTGTTGTTGCTGCTGCTGCTGCTGCTGCTGTTGTTGCTGAGGTGCTGCAGCAATCATATTATTGGCTGGCGCTGTGCCACCATTCGCCGTGCCTGCTGTAATCGCTGGTGTTCCTGCATTGCTGCCATTACTCTGGCTGTTTGAGTTGCTACCAGCGATTTGTAGCTGCGTTTGCATTTGCAATTGTTGCAATGTCTCCTGCGACATATTCGCCTTCAGTATGGTATTCTCAACCTCAAGTTGATTGATCTTATCCATCAGCTCGGAAATTTTCTCCTTGAGTACTTCAACTTCTTCGCGAACAGCTATCATAAGATGGGATTTGACCAGATCCTATCGAGAAGAGAGAGATAGAGAGAGAAAAATACGATAAGTAAATTAGTGTGTGTTGATTTGAGTTGAGGTGAAAAGAAAGAAGAATATGCAAGTACTGTGTAAATATTTAGATACATACCTACATATATAAATAAATAAATATGCGAGTGAATTGTTCAATAAATATTGACTGGAAACATTTTATTTATATGCATATATGTATACCTACACCTATCGTACATTCACACGTACCTACATAGTGAATAGTACGTACATACATATGTAACAAAACACCCACAGCAAATAAAAGTAAGCCTGCCTAAAAAATGCATATATGTATTTTTCTTTTAATTTTCATACTTTTGCTAGTTAAGTAATGATTCAGGCACGCATGCCTCTTTGCTGTTTCTTTTCTTCTCGAATCACACGTGCATCATAATTTTATAAATCAATATTTTTTTTTCAAATGTGGCGCGTGTAAACACATACTTAGCTACAGCGCAACATTGTAGTATACAATTTCATGTAGTAAATAAAAATTAGCAGTACCTGTTGTTTAAATAAAAAAATTTATGCAACAAGTATGCACATTAGGGTGTATCACTTTACATAAGAAAAGAAAAAAATCGGTATTGTTTTCCCAACGGAATTATAAAACTTTTTATATTTTAAGACTTCCGCTAAAATATTTCAGAAAAGCATTAAGATTTATGTGAGCTACACCGAATGGAAAATAGCAAAAAAATCTCATTATTTTGCTGCCGTTGATGCAATTTTTCAACATTTTTATGCAGACCTTTTGAGCTTGAACACTTTATTATTTGACGTGAATTTTTAGAAATTTTTTTTACTAATTTTAATAATAAAAAATTCGATTTTTAAACATATCTTAAAATTGGTACCGGTCACGCAAACCTTAATACTTTTCGGATTTTTTATTTGGCGGAAGTCTTAAAACATAACAAAGTTTTATAATTTCGGTGGAAAAAACCGCAACTTTATTTGGCGAGACACCCTAATGTACATACATACATATGTATTTGCATTTCTACTTTGTACTCCAAAAGTCTAGCGCCGAAGTACATATCTACATAAGTCGGCGAAGAGTTTTGCAACATGGCTGTAAATATTTGTCCACATATATTATTTTAAATTTTGTTTTCGCAAGAGTCAGCGAAAGATATTGCAGACACTATTTATATTAAATTTTATCACTATGAGACGATGATAAGATAAGTAAAAAAAATTTGAAATACATACTTATGTTAGTATGTGTAAATAACCGGTTACTAAATTTGGTTGGATCAAAGTTTTAGAGTTTAATGTATGTACATCCATGTAGATTTGTTTAGTAAAAGTGCTTATTATGTATAGTACCCATACATAGCTCAGAATTGGCTTGGAAGCATTTTATATCAAGTATACGTCCAATAAACACCAAAAAAGTTCGCCTCCAGCATTTAAGTTGGCAATTGCGCTTTTTCTACACTGGAATTTATTACTCCTGAGTTGACAACTACTCAAGTTGGCAAAATGAAGATCGCTTCTTTTTAAATCAGTAAATAATCTTTCTCGCAGAGCTTTTAATTTTCTCTTTATGTATGTTAAGAGAACTTCATTTGCACAGTAATTTAAAGGCAGTTGAGAAGTTGTGTTTTTGAATGTAGCCACCAAAAAAATATATCCCGCGAGTGAAGCTTTTTTAAAGCTTTCTATCGAAATGTGTACCAAAGCCAACAGTGGTCAAAAAATGAAAAAAACTTTAAGAGGACATGCACATGTGCGTCCGGAGTCAAGTATTACGAATAAATAGAGGTGAGATATCCCAGCGCCAAACGTCAAAAATTGGCGACAGCTGAGATCACCTATTTTGAGTTTTAACATCGATCTGTCTGTTTCTGTCTTATGCAGCGGAGGTAGCCGCCATATTTTTAACCGACTTCCAGAAAAGAAGGAGGTTATCAGTTCGTCGGAATATTTTTTTATTTTATTTTTTTGGTATGTATGTTACCGTATAACTTTGGACCACATCAACCGATTTCGATAATTCTTTTTGCATCGGAAAGGTAGTGTCTCAGAGGTGGTCCCATGCTAATCTGGTTAAGATCCGATCAGTGGATCATGAGATATATATATATATTTTTATATGAGAATTGAAGTCGGTTTTTTTTTTGCTAAAAATTACTTGTATACTCGTAAACTTTAGTTTTATAAGGGAAGTTGAATCAAAAGATTCCACACAAAATGGTAGTTAAGAATCGTGTACGAAACACTCATGTTCATTGTAGGTAGGTATTTTCTCAGGGCGGTTCTAAGCGGGCCAGTGCTTGACCACTAGCTGCGATAATTTAACTCTGTAGTACTGAACTTTTAAATTTCCTGGAAAAATAGACTAATAGGCAGTTATTCAAAATGTTCCAAGCAATATGCAACACAGCAAAATTTCTCATATAAAAACTAATGAGTATAAAATGCTTTACTAACATGCGCAACTGATGTAGTTAATCAAAGAAGAAAGTAAACAGCGTGTGCCAGAATAACCAAAAAAAAAAGTGAATTCAGTTGCTCAACAAAAAATGCTAATGTAATTTAACAATTTTCCTAGAAAAAGGAAACATGCAAATAAATAGTTTAATGCTTCGGAAATGATGGCTGACACGCGCGCATGTTTACCTTTGCGGTGAGTACCAGCTGAGAGTTCACACCGCGGCTAATATCACACCCAACCCATCGGTAGCAAAAAAAAAAAAACAGAAAAGAAAACGACATTTAATAAGGCAAAAAAAATGCACGTCACATCAAGCCACGCCAAAGGTGATTCATATTTATGCCGTGATTGCAATAGTTAGGCCAAACGCGCCACACTACATTCACAGCCGGTGGGCAACAGAGTGAGGTGGTGTCGATGCCTCAGACCTATCTACTACAAATACGCCATATGGTAGCAACAAATTTACAACAATAGAAGTAGTATGAATATGCCCAGCTAACAGACAGTGCTCCTTAGAGACAGCTGCTACTACGTCAAGTCAATACTTTAGCTGGTAATTTGTTTACTGGCCTCAAAATTTTTTTTTGCAACATGTGGAACATATCATTCAAAGTCGGCTTGAAGCCAAAAAAAAAAGCACAAACTAGAACACGAATATTGCATTTTTACTTGTTCAATTATTCATATAGGCACATACATACATACATACTTTCATAGTATGGATGCCCAATGGCGCTATGCTACTGTGCGCACTAGAGTCTCTTATTTTTTCAAGTATTTTTCTGTTAGTGGACCGTAGACTAATGGGATATTATAAGCTATTTGACAAGCGTTAAAGTACTAGTAGAAAAGCGATTGTGAAAAGGCGGCAGCACATTTTGTGGGTGTATCACAGAGACATGTGCTTGGAATAATAGCTGTTCGTTCTGTCAATTCATTGCAGCTACATATTTGCACATTGGCCGTTAATTCCGCGAAAGATGTGCGGTAATGGAAAATGACATTATTCAATATAACACGTAATAGCAGAAAATGCACGAAAGTACAAAAAAACTTTTAGCGCTGAGGGGCGAAAAAATCAATGCGCTAATATCACTTTGTGGCTATTAGAGAGGGGCAACTACAGCTAGGTGTCAATTAACCCCTTCAAGACCACAAAAGTAAGATTATAAAAATCGGGTTTGAATTGTAGTTTGCAATTTCTTTAAGGATATATCGCCACCTGAGTGGAATATCGACCTATCTCGGCAGCCAGTTCGAAAACGCCTTATTTCAGAAAATGCCCCATTTTAAGAATTGGATTGAAGAACGCCTTATCTCAAATGAAAATATATTGAAAATGCGCTGAGAGTGTGTGTAAGGGCGTTTTTGAATAGGCAGCCTAGATGGGGCGTTTTTGAAATGAATTCTGTGATAGGGTGTTTTCCAATAAAATTCTGAAATAGGGCGTTCTTGAAAAGTTTTCTGAGATAGGGCTTTTTCGAACTGGCAGCCGATATATGTCGATCTTCCACTCAGGTGTTGATATGCAAGTAAACACAATTTCATGTTTTTTTTTTTATTTCGGTTCTCTAAGTTAGGACCGACAAAGCGTGAGGAATGCATGACATATTACGCAGGGGTAACTCCAAAGTCACACTAGAACATCTTCTGTTTCACTGTACAGCTTTCGGAAGAACGCTACTCAGCTACCTTTTGTTTGCCTTTTTCTCCTCACTGAAGGGAATGAATTAAATAAATAGCAGATCTAAGAACTAGTAAACTGCTAAAACTTAAAAAAAAATGCATTATAATGAAAGTTAAAGCAAACGGTAGCAATTTAGCACTTAATAATGGTGATATACGTCAGATCGTACGGATCAGCCAAAGCTAACCAAGCCTTTCTACAAATGTTATTTCTATTTGTTTGCAATTTTTTTTCTAAAAATGTATAGCAGAAACAGTCAAATCGCAATAAAGCTGTGTAAAAAAGCATAGAATTACGAGAACTTCATACGTTTTCCTTCTGAATAAAGTCCTTTAGAAACATGAGCCACTGGTCATGAAAGAGTTAAGTTACGGTGGTGCTTAAGCATTTAGTTAGCTGCTATTTCCAAAAAAGTAGACAAGTTGTGAAAAAATAAAAATAAAAAAATTCTGAAAATACGTGTCAATGGTAATGGTTTCATTTTAGTGCTTCTTCAAGAAAGTGGGTCAATATGGGTAGAACGGAAAAAAATACTAAACTTGGTGCTAGAGTATGTACACGTACGCGGTGGCCTTGCATATTAAGGTATAGAGAGAGAGAGAAGATAAATGAAAATTTATATATGATATTTAGTTCAGCACACCCAACGGAAAACTAGTAAAAATTGTAGGTGGTAATTAACCCAAATTTGAGCGATGGCTGATAGTGCACGGTTTCAGTTGTTTTAAATATTTGACGTAGGCATTTGATCTCATTTGACGTATATGTATGCGCTTGGTATCATTAGGATTAGTTTTTAAAATGTATGTGCAAACTTTTTATTATTATTTTTTTCTCGCT